AAATGGGAATGGCCGAGCGCACGCTTAGGTTGGGCATTCCTAACAGTTGCCATGCATGGCCGAGCGCACACCTAAATTAGGTGGAGTGGGGCTCTGAAACTTATATGTAGGAATATTTACAAACATCTCAGTGTCGGACGTACGCTTGCGTGAGAGCTTTCAACAAGATAAAAGTTTTTACAATTTAATCCATACAGTGTCTTGATGAGGTATTCCTCATTAATGTCTCCCAATGACAGCCTAATAAAGCTATTCTAATATGGGCCTAATGCAGCCCTAACGCGGCTTTCCCAATTAGACGGTCGTGAATATTCCGCGTTACATACCGCATGCGGGCCCAACAGGCAAATTGGGCTAGCCTAACGCGGACCTAATATCTGCCTAACTGAAATTTCTAGTCGGATACTTTGTTTGCAGACTGAAGACACGTTTGTCGATGTAAAACGCGGTTTTGAATAAATTAGCAGGCAATTGAAATTTTAATTGAAGAGAAAAAAGTGGAAAAAAATATTGACATTGGTTAATACTGTTATTTGTAGCTTGGTGAAAAACTTTTTATATTAATGTTGATTATTAGTTTGTTCAAGAAGTTGTTTTCATTTTTCGACAACTTTCTGAATTTTTTTTTTCAACGAGAAAACTTGATAATTGAGCAAAAATAATTAATTTGAAATATGAGCAATATTCTTTAACAATAAATGACAAAATTAAGTTGGAAAGATCACTTTTTTGCGAATTTATTTGACACACTATGATTTGAGATAAAAAAAGAAAAACACTCCACAATTTTTTTTATAATGTACTCAGTTATTTACTGAAATTATTTAAAAATTGTTGCTACGGTTTTGAAACGAAAGTTAATAATACAAAGTTCTTCGTTCTGATCTTCGGTTCAGCTACAAAATCAATGTGTTTTACTTCTCGAAAATAAAGTTCAGTGGAATGTTCTTTTTCTTCTTCTTCTTCTCGCTCGTTCAATTGAATGCGCTCGTTGATCAAAGTACCGAGAACAACAAGTGTTCCTCGACGGTTAGGGAATTTGGCAGCGCGTCAAATTGGGGCAAATAACTGGATATTTTGGATATGGCATCTCGTGGAAGAATTTCATCGTTTATTTTCACTGAACCAGCTGTTGGCGTGGTTCTTCCTGCTAGGGCGGCCAGAAACGTCGTTTTCCCTGCGCCGCTGAAGAAACATTGTAATTGAAACCTAACCTAACCTAACTATTCATAATTTTGTGAAAAAATTCTAACCGAAAACTACTTAACTTAACCTAATCGTTCGTAATTTACTATTTTTACTAATTTTTGCTATTTTATCAATTATAGATTATTTCATAATCTGCAAATTTATAATTTATAATTCACTTGACCTAACCTAATCATTCATAATTTACTATTTTCACTACTTTTTACTATTCTACTAATTTACTACTTTATTAATAATACATTATTCCATAATGTGCAAATTTATAATTTATAATTTACTTAACCTAACCTAACCATACATAATTTACTATTTTTATTAATT